TATATATACCTGATAGCTACTTGGTGAGATTTTCTAACATCACATGATACACTTATTGAGCTAGGAGACAGTATGATGTGGAATATTAGTACAATTTCCCAAAAAACTGCTTAAAAAAATAAAATCAACCAGAGGAGACCTAAAGTCACACTATAGGGTTGGTGAGTCCACTCTGTCAAGTAACTGGTCTCCTGTGGAGTGATTCTGCAGTTCATTATAAACCATAGGGAGGTCACCACACTAGTGATAACATGATGTAAGTCAAATGCTATCTTACTGTCAAGAATGTAAATGCGGATTTAAGATGGAAGCCTCTTGAACTACAGGATAAAAGTGATGAGAAGACAGAAGGAAGGGAATCTGACAAGGCATTTCAAATCTTAAGGAGAGCTGGTGGCACGGTGAGTTAGGTACTGTCCTACTAACCAAAACGTCAGCAGTTCAAATCTACCAACTGCTCCTCGGGAGAAAGATGAGGCTTTCTGCTGATATAAAGATTTACAGTCTCTACAACTACATGCAATGACTTTATTCGTTTGCTTTTGGGAGGGGGAAGGGTTATAGACTCAAAAAGATCTTCTCCCATTTAATATAAATTAATTATAAATAGAACAATTAAACAAATCTGCCCACAAATGTTTCCTGCACAGGTGTAAAAAATGCATTGTCTGTGAAGAGCAATGAAGCAAAGCACAAGAGAATGCGGTGTGCCCGGATGCGTTTTACAGTGCTGTTAGGAGGGTCGTGAAAGATACAGCATTCAAACAGCACAGCAGACTGCTGGCAAATCGTGAGGGTTCGTGTAATCCATGGCTTGTATTCTTTTCAGTGGTGAGGTCAAGACTGCAGATTTAGCAGGTGATACAAATGAACAGTTAGCAGGGCCATCCGTGGGTATGACTATGGGGATGGTGGGTTGGTGTGAACAGAGATTAGTTTTATTAAAAAGGAAATGTGGTGTAGTTCAGAGTACAGAGGTAATGAAATCTCAGCTCTGTCCCTTAGCTGTGTGACCTTGGGCAAGCTACTGAACTTTCCTGAGCTCATCTGTAAAACAAAGACATTCATAACCTCTGCCTCTTAGGGCTATAGTAGTTCTGGTTAAAAAACTATGTTTGCAAAACAATTTGAACACTCTCTGGCACACACTAAGCATCAAATTGTTCATTAATAACAACAATCTACAGTAATAAGGAAACTATGCAAGAGTGCATCTTCGTTCTGGTAAAAGAACAATCTTTATGGTTTGGGATGTTTCCTTTGGCTGCAGAGTTAGAATTCTTATTTGCAACCAGGCTCTGAGAAGCAGGGAGGGAAACTCCATGGGAATAAGTCTGCAAGTGATACCGAATAGGCTTTTAGATATTTTCAGAATGAGTATATCACAAATGTCTCCTAGGATTTTATTAACATCTGTGTTTCTTCTTATTCTTACATAGGTAATATACATACAGTGTTTTGAGCACAATATAAAGTTAAAATTTAAGCAATCATCTTACCTTCCAAATCAAGTTTAAAACAAATACAGACTTTGTGGAGGGAAGCAAGCAAACACAAAAATTCAACCTATTTTCCTTAAAAATGCACTTAAAATTATCCTAAGTGCACATGACCAGGGTCAAAATAATTGTGGCCCACAGTCGGTTTTTGTATACCCAGCTGTTTGCCATTTCAATAAAAGCCTGCTTTGTGAAAGCCAAGCAAGAGAATAATCACTTTAAACATTTATCAGAGGTCATCAATATGATTCTAAGACCAGTAGCATTGAAAGATAACTGGTTTATAATGTTCCAAATGCTTCCTACATATTAGTGTGTTTGATCTTTATGTCTTTAGGAGGCAGACACTACTTTTATTCCCATTTTACAGATGAAGAGACAGACACAGAAAACTTAGTTGCTTTTCCCAAGATCTCACAACTGAGGCAGTTGCTCTTGTTTCAGATTCCACACTCTAAATGACAAGTGTAAGTTCTACATAGGAAAAATACAGCATGATTTAACAGTGTACGCCTGGGAGAGCTAATTTATAGTCAATGAAGTCAGGAATAAGAGATATCACCTAAGGAAGTGATAATTATGCTAAAGTACAAAGGATAACCTGATAGTGTCATAGATTACATATTGGACTGCTAACCACTAGGTCAGCAGTTCAAATCCACCAGCCACTCCTCCAGGAAGAGATGAGCCTTTTTTGCTCCTATAAAATGTACAGACTCAGAAACACTATACAGGGTCGCACTAGTCAGAACTGACTTGAGGGCAAACAGCAGCAGCATAAAGGAAGAGAAGGAATCCTAGCTGGGAGGATTTTTAAGCAGCCAGGAGAAAATGTAGAAGATCATGTGGAGGGAAGGATGGTTCTTCTATTAAAACTTGGTAATATACCCACAAGCTCTTGAGAATACCTTCTACAGGCACCTGCCTAAGACACTTGCTGGAAACAGGAAAATGCTATGAGCTACCTAGCTCGTTACTAACAGAGAGTGATGCAGCTGTGGGTGGAAGGAGTGTAGCTGTCCTCACTCTTGGCTTCATAGTAGAATTCAGGGCGTTATATTAAAGAAAGAGACCAAGGAGAGGAAGAAAAGATCCTTGGGTCAGTTACTAAATACCCTATCCCAAGTGAAGAAGAATTTGGGAAACTGAAGAAGACTGTTACAAGAGGGTGATCCTATGTACCTATTGAATGTTGTTGTCAAGTGCCATCAAGTTGGTTCTGACTCTTAGCAACTCTGTATATGGTTTTCTAGGAGCAGTAAGTGGGTGTGAACCACTAACCTTGCAGTTAACAGTCTATTGTTTATACTACAGCATGGCAAACCAGGACTCCTAACCTATTTGTTGTTAAGTGCTGCTGAGTCCAATCCGACCCATAGGGACCCTGTATAGGGTTTCCAAGGAGCAACTGGTGAGCTTGAACCACCGACCTTGCCGTTCAAATGACTTTGCAGTTTGAAGCATTACACAGTGTCACACCAGGACTCTATTTAGTAGTACCCTAACAAATGCTATGAAGAAACAGAACTTTTTTTTTCTATTTCTGATCCTATGAATGGAAAAGTATTGCTGCCATCCTAGAATGCTCTGAAGCCAATCAAAATGTTTCCTAACGAACATTCTGTAGGTCGTGATTACTGGCCAAAGTGGAGCAAAGACAAAATAAATAAAAAATCACCCTAGACTATGGCCCTTGTTGGCAATTAGTATTTGTGAAGATACAGAGAGAAAAACCCAAATGACAACTTGCTGTTGTTGTTATTAAGTCACTGAGTCGGTTCCATACCACAGTGACCCAGTATAGGGTTTCCAAGGAACAGCTGGTGGGTTTAAACTACTAACCCTGTGTTTAGCAGTTCAGTGCTTATACTAAGGACTCCAAAAGAAAACTAGTAATGTTAAATTAAAGTTGATTTAAATATTTAAGCAATTCATGTTATATTGTATTATGGGCATTGGAGGGGACTTCAAAAAGTTCATGGAAAAATCCCATTATCTTTTAAATCCATTTTTACACAACCTTCTTGAAGTCTTTTTGTATGTTTTTTTTTTCTTTTAAAAAGTGTATTATTTTGCTACCAACTTTTTCCTATTTAAATTCCTATATCATCAGACAAGAGGGGCAAAATAATTGGTAATAAGTGGTAATAGTTCAGTATGTACTAGGCACTACGCAAACGTCATGCTAATTTCATCTCACACTTCATTTCTTACAACAACCTTTTGACTACTACATCTTAAATTAAACTACTACATCTAAGTCACAGATAAGGAAGCAGAAGGATATAGAAGTCAATTCACAGCATCTCTGAGTAGGACAAATGGCTATGCACTGGACTACTGCCCTAATGACCCTCGGAAGACAGGCCCAAAATGTCACAGACTTGAAAATGCTATGGAACAGCTCTACCCTGCACATACAGAGCGGCCATGAGTCAAAACCGAACAAGAACAAGTCTTACAGAGTTCATTTTACCTACTGCCTGACCCTGGTAAACCTAGGAACCCAGAAATGTACAAGAGGATCAAGGAGAAGAATAACAATTTTGCCATTCTTCAGATTTGTGCCTTGCTCAAAGGGCTGATTTCAATTAGAATGGGGGAAAAAAGAGAGAGATTAAAATAGGAAGTGAGCTAGTTCTAAAAGCCAATAAAACTTGAGTGTCTCTCACTCAGTTGTGGATAAAACACAGATCAATGGCCCCTCCCTGGGAGTTTCCACTTCTGTATGTCTGGGTAAGAGGCTGATGACTTGTGTTTCTCACAAGTTCTCAACTCACGTTGCTGCTATAGGGCCTGCACAACGACATAAATTCAGATTCACTCTTAGATAGTTATACTAAAAAACTAACTAGACCGTTAAGCAACAGGGCTCTTTGGTTCTTAAAATGACAAGGAATATTCCAAGCAACTGAAGTATTTCCTTTATGATATTTTAAAATAGAACATTCAATATGTACAAAATTAGATGGAGCCGATGTAAACTGAATAAACCATCTAAGTGTCATATCTGATTTGTACAGTGGCATTAAATGTCAAATATAGCTGAAAAATTGTCCCTTAATATTAATCTTTATAATGGTCAAACTTTGATGAATTTTTTTTTTTTTTTGAAGACTACTTATCATTACCAAAAGTAAAATATTTAAGTATATAAGTCACATTTTAAATATTTTCTCTTCATTGGTTATTTTACAATTCTTACTAATAAAACAACACTACTATTACTGAAGGCTAATCTAACAGTAATGCTTTAACGACTGACAAGAGAAATACTTCAAACTTTCTAAGACATAGAGTAAAACTAACAGAAAGAACACAGACTTATTTTGCCCTAAATTTACCAACTTTAGTTCCTTTGTGAAATAATGAAAGTATAAAATTTAAGACTGGGCTAGACCATTCTCAAATAGGCCTTTAGAAGTTACCATAAAGCTCTTTCTATGCCATCCAAGTAAGTAAGTATATACAATGAATATTGGCAATGAAGGAAAGTCTTACCCAGATCTAGTCGTTTTGAATTCCACCTTGAGGATAGGTTTGCATGGTTCTGGCTTCTTCCCATCCTTTAACTGTTTTCCTAAAATATATTTCCTGCATTAAATTCTAAAATTCTAAATTCTTACATTGACAGTTTACAAAATTAAAATGAAATACAATGAACTCTACCATGCAATACTTTAAAGTGATTTGGAAAGAAGAATTTAATATAAAATAAGATATTTTTAAGATGACCTGTTAAAAGTACTGTGAGAGTCCATGCTGAAAAGCAAATAAAGTGAATTTAACTTAGTAACAACATTTATGTAATAAAACTCTAGTACAATTAGTTGATGTACAGAACTAGTGATGTATACCCCTCCCAATGTCTTCACTACAGATTAGTCAAACAGACTCCATTTACTAGATGCACTCAAGGTTTAAAATGCCTGCACCTGGAAAAGTCACCCAAGTGTGTGACAAGCTGTTAAATTAAACCACATGTTAAAAGGTGTCAGGAATTCATTTTGTCCAGGAATTTTTATTATTTCTTAAATGTTTATTTTTGTTATCTATTTCTACATGTATATTTGTAGAGATTCATCCAGGAATCTCTGTAGAAAACTTGGAAAAAATATACAGAAAATGAAACATGAGGCTAAGTCAAAAGGCATTCCTACTAGGGTTGCGGAGTCCTAGTGTAATGCTATAGGACAAGCACTGGACGGCTAACCACCAGGTCAGTGTAGTGCTATAGGATAAGCACTGGACAGCTAACCACCAGGTCAGCAGTTGAAATCCACCAGCCACTCCTAGGAAACCCTATACAGGGTAATGGTGCTTAACAACATTAAGTACTAAGGTTCCAGTTCATATATGCATGAATTTATTCCAAATAATATGTTCAAACATGTTTCTGTGATCAGTGGATGGCTGCAGACAAGTCCGCTCAGTCTTGCTCAATCCAGTGCCACCGAGTTTATTCCAACTCACAGCACTCCTATATAGAATTCCCAAGGCTGTAACTCTTTAAGAGAACAGAAAGCCTCCTCTTTTTCCTGTAGAATGGCCAGTGAGTTGTAACTGTGAACCTTGCAGTTAGCACTCCAGCACTTATCCTACAGTGCCACCAGGGCTCCACAGTATTCTTAGGGTGACTTCAAAATAAACAATTCAGTCAAAACAGTGGCTTCCAAAGGGATCGGCTGGGCCGTTCATTACAAGGCAGACAGGTCGGCTCAGAAGGTTATGGTAACTCCATTTATGAAGCCCAAAGAGGCAATCTAGACATTCTCGAAGACACAAGACGATCATAGGGGCTTACATGGAAGCTTTAAGAAAACTGAAATTTGCATTAGTGAGAAAAAAGAACAAGAGAGTTATGCCAAGGGATTTTTTCCAACATACTTTCTCATTCCATGAGAGTAACATGCATTGTTCTAGGAGAATCCATCTGCTCTCCAGTCCTGATCTTGCCTTTTCAGACTTTTTTATTTCCAAAACTTAAAAGATCATTTCAAAGAAGACATTATCTGATTCCCTCAAGAATGCCAAAACTGTTGTTATGTCGTGATGTAAACCTAAGGGCAGAGTCCTGATGTGGTGCTGCAGGTTAATGCGCTGGACTGCAAAGTCGGTTTGAACCTCAAGGCTAGCGGTTCAAGCTCACCAGCTGTTCCCTGGAAACAGTATACAGGGTTGCTATGAGACAGAACTGACTCAAAGGCACCTAGCAACAACAATAACAACAAACCTAAGGGCAGAATCCTTCAGGGAAGGATTAGAGAAATGGAAACATGTACAGACCCAGATGGACGATGTGTCCAGGAATAGCTTCATGTTTCAGTTATCTTTTATCAAAGGTTTAATCAAGGTTTGTATGATTTTATAGCAATATTTTTGGATTCAATCTTGTAGCTACTTGTCATTTCTTAGAGATTAATCATTTTTGACATTATATTTCTTTCCATTTTTAAAGTCTATTTCAACCTATAAAATGATCATCTAAATACATCTGGAGGGCTCGATGGATGGCTGTGTACCATAAGCAGTGAACTGAAAACTATAAGATCAGTGGTCTGAGTCTACTAGCCACTCCACAGGAGAAAGATGAAGCTTTCTGCTCCTGTAAATATGTACAGCCTTGGAAAACCCATACACGGTCGATAAGAGTTGGAGTCAACTCTACAGCACTTTTCAACAATAAACATACCCATGGATACACATGCCGTCTAACAGCTAAAGCTGTTTTTGATATAAAAACACATTTATACATGAGGGTGAGTCAAACATTATCCTCACACTGGTTATATTAAAATATCCATCCATCCACATCCTTGCTGATTAAACAACACTAAGGGTGCCCATGAAATGATTGTTGAACAGACGAGTGACAGTAGATTATATGGCAAATCATTAGCAAATCAGTCATGGCTCTGGCCTGGAGCTCTGGTAGCGTAGTGGTTACAAATCGGGCTGTGAACTGCAAGGTCAGCAGTTCAAAACTACCAGCTGCTCCGCAGGAGAAAGATGAGGCTTTCTGCTCCCGTAAAGATTTACAGCCTCGGAAACCCTGTTCAGGGTCGCTATGGGTCGAAACCGACTCGATGGCACTTAACAACAACAACAACAACATGGCTCTGCCTAGGAAGTAAATCTACAACAGACATTGGTTTAAAAAAGGTTGTGCAAGATGGATACCAAAACAACTCATGGAAGTGCATAAACAGAAGTGTTTGGACATCTGCAAACAAAATTTCAACCAATTCTCAAAGGGAAGGTAAAAGTTTCTTAAAAACTTTGCTGCTGGTGACAAGTCTTGGATTCATCATTTTGAGCTTGGGAGTAAACCACAGAGCATGAAATGGAAACAACGTCATCGCCAACCAGGAAAAAGTTCCTAAATCAACTATCAGCTGGGAAATTGATGCTTAAAGTTTTTGGGATTCTCAAGACCAGTTTTGGAACACCAGCAGGAAAAATGCTCAACAATCAACAGTGTTTGCTATAGTGAGATGCTCACTGAAGAGCTGAAGTCTAAACTTCAGATTAAATGCTGAGGACTGCTATCCAAGGGCATTGTGATCTTGCATGACAATGCATGTCCCCACACCTCTGCCCACTGTTGACACTCTGCACACACTTCACTTTGAGGTGTTAAAGAATCCTCCCTACAGTCCTGATCTTACTCCATCACACTGTCACCTGTTTGATCTCCTGAAAGCAGCCTTTTGAGGATGAAGTGAAGAGGTGCATTCATGGCTCACAGTTAAACCTAAAACATTTTTTAATGAGGGAATATGAAAAGCTTGTTGACAGATGGACAACATATATTGAAAAGCAAGGAGACTATCGAAAAATGATGCATTTCTCTTTTCTAAAAGTTGATTAAAATAAATTCTACAGCCAGAGTGCAGATAATTTTTGACTCACTCACATACATGAAATTAGTTATATATAAAGATTGTTGTTGTTGTTAAGTGCTGTCAAGTCGATTCTGAACCATAGTGGCCCTGCAAAGGGTTTCCGAGGCTGTAAATCTTTATGGGAGCAGAAAGCCTCATCTTTCTCCTGTGGAACAGCTGGTAGTTTCGAACTGCCAAACTTGAGATTAGCAACCCAATTCATAACCACTATGCTACCAGAGCTCCTTAATGTGAATATGTAACTTGTGGAGCAATGGTTAAATGCTAACCAAAAGATCAGTGGTTCAAATCCACCAACTGTGCCCTGAGTGAACGATGTGGCAGTCTACCTTTCTGAAACCTTACAGCCATGGGAATCACATGGGGCCGTTCTTCTCTGTCCTAGTGAGTCACTATGAGTTGGAGTTCTACTCAATGGCAATGGGTTTGGTTTGGTATATGAAAATAAATTTAAAAAATAATAAACAAAATTTGAAACAAGCTCATGAAATACAGCTTTTTAGAATGTATACACATTTTCTCAGGTTATATAATTGTTGAACACAATTTCTGAAGTCTGCAAACACTCCTGATGAGTATATCCTAATCATGCCCACATTTGAAGACAATTAGATTGTTTTCAATGGTTTTGCTATTTTAAATAACTGTATTTTACATCCTTCTGCGTTTATCAGATCCAATCACTCCTCTGTTCTAAATCCTCCACTGGCTTGTCATCTCAGAGTAAAACAATGTCTTACTATAAATTACAATACAAAGTACAAGTGGCTATTTACCTTCAAGATAGTAAAACTTATAGCAGAAAATTTAATTTAGAAAATGTAGGACATGATGTGGCTCAATTACTAGCAACCAGCAACAGTGAAGTAGTTCTACAGGTTGTTGATTCTAATTCCAAAATGTTACTCAGGTCTGTGTATTTCCTTCGATTCTCTGTCACAAATGAAATCTTCATTCATAGTAAGGACTTATGGCATACAGACAGTTCTCATACCTAAGAATGGACTGGCATGAATCTATTGTATTAAAATGTTGAGTTCAATACAATGCATGACTTGTAACACTCATAAAGACATTGCTGGGCTTCAGCCAACAGCTTAAGGCAAGAGGACGTCTCAGCCTCTTTAAGTGGGGTCATACTGTTGTTAACACTGTTCAGGGTGTAACTGTTTTCTGCTTAAATGTTCCTTATTTAAACCCTTGTAATCATGCCTCTAAAGTGTGGATCCTCTGCAAGTTCTGGTAATACATCCAAGAAAAGGAAAACATTCACAACAGAACAGAAAGTGGACATTAAATAAAACTGGAAAGAGATGAAACATAGACAGCAGTAGAAATATCGCCACAGAGTGACTCCACTACCATGCCAGAGAGCTACCAACAAAGACCTTATGGAACTACATCAGCAAACAACAGTATTTAAGGAAGCCCAGGACCTAAAAGCTCCAAAACCAAGTAAGTGTTTGATGAACGAGTTAGCTGAAGTCTTTTATGTCACTGAAGTAGACATGGCAACCTCAGAGGAATAAGATTCAAAGAGGTTCACCAAAGTTTACTGAGGATCTCAGCTGCTACATGGTCATTTTTGATGGGAAAACAAAAGCTCTGTACAAACCGCTGTTGGTGACTACTTCAAGAGATTGACTCCAGCAGTACTGTGACTCTTCCCTCTCCAGAAGCAGAATCAAACTCTGCCTCTCCAGCACCAGAATCATCCTGTCAACACTAGGCCCATCATTTTCAAGAGTAGCTGTCTCACCATCATCATCATCAGTTACTGGTATCATAAAGTTATATCATGAATGCAACTTCTGGTATGTAAAACACTGACAGCATGACAGTAAGCTTTAAACTTTATTCACAATCTTTCTTCTTTTTCTTTTTTTCTATCTAAACTGATGTAAGAACTGTTTTTTGAATTTTAAAAAATTATTATTATAGTACTGTATTCCTGGAGTCCTGGTGTGGTACTGAAGGATACGCGCTGGCCTGCTAGCACATACAGGCACAGATCCTCTCTCTCTTCAACACTGAACCGATGTGTGAATGTGTGTAGGTCTACAGCACTGATACTTTTAATATGACAGTATTATGATGATGAACTACACTGTTTAAGATGTTTTAATATATTTGGAAGTGTTTCTTAAGTCTTCATGCATAGAAAGGTAAACTGCATATCAGCACCAGAATACTGTCAGATATCGTGCCAGAAGATGAGCCCTTCAGGTTGGCTGGCACTCAAAACACGACTGGGGAATAGCTGCCTCTTCAAAGCAGAGATGACCACGATGACAGGAATGGATTACAGCCTTCGGGACCTTCATTTGCTGATGTGCCACAACTCAAAGTGAAGAGAAACAGCTGCAAACATCCATTAATAATTGGAACATGGAATGTATGAATTACTGATCTAGGAAAATTGGAAGTTGTCAAGAAATAAATGGAATGTATACACATTGATATCCTAGGCATTAGTGAGCTGAAATGGACTATATTATTGGCCATTTTGAATCTGCTAGTTACATAGTTTACTAAGCTGGAATGACAGATTGAAGAGGAATGGCATTACATTCATAATCAAAAAGAACATCTGAAGATCTATCTTGTGAATATATACACATATACTGGTGTCTACAATAGGAGTCTTGGTGTGATGCTGTAGGATAAGCACTGGACTGCAAGATCTGTTTGAACTACAATGTCAGTGGTTCAAACTCACCAGCTATTCCTCAGAAACCCTTTACAGGGTTACTATGAGTTAGAACCAACTTAACAACAACAATAACATGATAGGATAATATCCATATGCCTAAAAGAATACCAAGGAGCTCTGGCAGCGTAGTGGGTACGAGTCGGGCTGCTAACCTCAAGGTTAGTAGTTTGAAACTACCAGCTGTTCTGCAGGAGAAAGATGCTACCACTTTGCCAATCCATCTCGCTGGGGGTCTTCCTCTTTTTCTCTGACCCTCCACTTTACCAAACATGATATCCTTCTCCAGTAACAGGTCCCTCCTGACAATATGTCTTAAGTATGAGAGACGAAGTCTGGCCATCCTGGCTTCCAAGAAGAACTCTGGCTGTACTTCATTCAACATATACCTGTCTGTTCTTTTGGCAGTCCATGGTACTTTCAGTATTCTCCTCCAACACCATAACTCAAATGCATCAAATCTTCTACCATCTTCCTTATTCACTGTCCAACTTTTGCATGCATATGAGGTAACTGAAAATACTATGGCTTGAGTCAGGTGCATCTTAGTCCTCAAACTGACATCTTTGCTCTTCAATACTTTAAAAAGTTCTTGACTGCTGCTTCCATGAGTGTTGATGGTTGATTCAAGAAAAATGAAGTTTTTGACAACTTCAATCTTTTCTGCATTGATAAGAATGTTGTTTACTGGTCCAGTGGTGAGGGTTTTTGTTTTCTTTACATTGAAATGCAATCCATACAGAAGGCTGTGGTCTTTGATCTTCATCAGTAAGTATTTTAAGTTTTCTTCACTATACTGGAGAGTCTCTTCTGATATCAATTTGGTGTTTTCTGCTTCAACCTAAATATGCAGATGAGCAAATTACAGTGTGTTCCAGTCTGTCCCTGGCCTTGTTTTTGGCTGATAATATGGAGGTTTTCCACCGATTCTTCTCACAGATGTAGTCAGTTTGATTTCTGTGTATTCCATCAGGTGAGGTTCATGTGTGTAGTTGTCTGTTGTTAAGTGGTTTTGAGTCAGATTTGACTCATGGAGACCCTGAATAGGGTTTCCAATGACCAGCTGGTGAATTTGAACATTCAATTTTGTGTTTAGCAGTCCAGTGCTTAAATTACAGTGCCACACCAGGCATATGGATATTATCCTATCAGAGACAGAACTGCACTTCAAGAAAGACCCTGAAATGTTCTATTTGATGATAAATGCAACACCATTCCTCTTGAATTTGCCATTACCAGAATTATTATAGGATTCTCAACTTCAAAAATGGCCAATACCAGTCCATGTCAGCTCACTAATGCCTAGGATATCAATGTTTATGTGTTCCATTTCATTTTTGCCAAGCTTCAATTTTCCTAGATTCACACTTCATTTATTCCATGTTCCAATTTTCAATGGGTGTTTTCAGCTGTTTGTCTTCATTTTGAGGTGGGCCCTATCCGCAAATGAGGTCCCAAATGCTTTACTCCATCTACATCATCATGGTCTCTCTACTCCAGTCATATTTTCAGTGCCCTCTGACTGGAGGGGCTCACCTTCCGGCACTATACGTGACAATTCTTTTTATAAGGTTTTCAGTGTCTAAACATTCAGAAGTTGTCTATCTGTCCTTCTTCCTAGTCTGTCTTCATCTAGATGTTCAGGTGGAGTCTGTCTACCATGCGTGACCATTTGTTACTGAAATACCAGTGGCACAGCCTCCAGTATCACGGCAACACACAAGTCACCACAGTATGAGAAACTGACAGAAGAATGGAGGCGAGATCGTGAGATGTATGGACGTTTGTAGGCATGTGATCAAGCTTAGAGGTACAGCCCCTAATCGAAGGAAGAAGGAAACAAAATAAAGAAAAACTGGAACCTACTATCATAAGGGATTATCCTTTTGGATACACAAATACATAGATCCAGAGAAAATGTCAAGTGAGTACTTTTATAGAACATTTGTTGTTGTTGTTGTGTGCCATGGAGTCATGACAGCTATTAAAGCAGTAATGAATGGTACATATAACATGAGGTTTTCAAAATAGTTATTCTTTCTAGAAAACAAAAAAACCCCATATTGCCACAAATACATAAAAGTAATTTGTAATTATATTGTTTTTTTTTTTTTAACTTTTTCATGGCAATAACTTAGAATGGGTATTCATATTTTAAAGTAATACATGAGCTATAGTACAAGGATAGCCAAATACTACCAGTTGTTAAGAACCTCTTGGGGTAGAAGTGGAGAATATAGTTTATAAAGTGGTATAAGAATTCTTACTTTATCTGGGTGGCATAAACAGTTGAGCACTGAAAGTTAGAGGTTCAGACCCACCCACAAACACCTCAGAACACAGTCCTGGCATCCTGCTTCCAAAAGGTCCCAGCCTTGAAATTCCTGTGGAGTGCTTCTCCATAGGATTCAGTGGCATTTAATACCAATAACACTTAACACAAAGACTTTCATAGCATGCTTTCTAATGAAAGCCCTAAAGATACCTACAAGTTTTGTAAGCACAATTTGTATAGAAATAAGTTAACACAGCAGACCTGAGAGTGGCGGACTTAGAACGGCCTGCTGGTAGGACAGTTCTTGGTTGGTATCTGGGAACTTGGCTTTCGGGAGGGGCTCACTATGCTGTACTAAACAATGGAGCTTTGTTTTTCTTCTGGAAATCTGGAAACTTGTTATTTGAGAAGCAGAGGGTCACTGGAAGGCTGAGCCTCGTGGAAACCCTGGGCGTCCAGGCTCAGCTCACTTGCCCAGGCAGGAACCATTTCAAATGTACTGTGACAACTGTTGTTAGGAAGTGCCACTGAGCTGATTCCTAGCAGAAGGTTTCCAAGGAGTGACTGGTGGTTTGAAACCACCAACCTTTTGGTCAGTAGTCCAGTGCTTATCTTGTTGTTGTTGTTAAGCGCCATCAAGCCGATTCCCACTCACAGCAACCCAGCAAGGAGTGGCTGGTGCTTTACCCACAAACCATGTGGTAAGCGGTGAAGTGCTTATCCCACAGCTCTTACCCTACTGCGCCACAACTAGTTGGTGGAAAAGTGCATCCTCTGTGATTCCACTGGGGGAAGACGCTTGGAAGCTTTTTCCTGGTTTCCTCTACACTTTAAGTCCTGTGCCTTCTCCCTTTGCTGATCTCACTGTGTGCATTTTCTCTGTAATAAATCACAGCTGCGAGCAGGATCTGCGCATCCTCCTAGTGTATCCCTGAGGCCCCAACGCACAATTTAAGGCTACAGTGACCTTCCACAGAGCTCCGAATGTGTTCAGTGCACACAGTTACATATAGATTAGCAATGAAAAACTCTCGTATGCAAATAGCATAAATTGAGCCCTACACATCAAAAGAACATTTAAAACTATTTGCTTTATGGCTCGCTGGAGCAATGAGAATCAGATCATATGACATTCATTTTCCCAAATTACAAATTCACAATTTTAACTGCAAATAGGCTTGAGGTTTTAGTACCTGGTTCGTTAGACACTATTTGTGTAGACTTAAATATTTTTAATTTCCTTAAGAAGAAAAGAAAGCCTATCCTTGTCATTCAAAATGAACGAACACACAAATCCAAACACAAGCCCAAACAAAACATTTTAGTGCCCAATATACAGTAAGCAGTGCTTAAAGGGATGTGTTCTTACCATGTGGAGTGACTGTCTGTGCAGGCTTGGTAGGCGACCTCACATGCCAAATAGTCAATGTGCCATCGGAATGGCTGCAAATAAACTGCTTGCCTTCATGATGCCAGGCGACGGAGTGGATGGCCTACAGAAATGTGGGAAGAATTCCGCTTATAAAATTACAAATACAGGCAAACACACATTTTTTACAATTGGTTTTATCATTAACTTTTATTTTAAGCATTATCATATATCCCCAGCAGAAGTCAGCAAGTTAACTTTACATTTCTATACAAGGCTTCTTACAAAACAAATTTAGTTTGAAATGGATGCAGCTTTTTGGACATTGAATTATTAGTTCTTACTTTCGTAATTTTCATCAAACCAGTATTGTTGCTGCTCTTGTTAAGTGCTGTTGAGTACGTTTCGACTCATAGCCACCCTGTGTAGGGTTTCTGAGGAGTGGCTGCTGAATTTGAACTTCTGGCCTTGTGATTCCAAGTGATCTTGTGGTCTAGTACTCTATCTCACAGCACTACGCCATGATGCCAGCATGAGCATGCTAACAATGATATCCTTATTACTGACAAATACATAAAAACAAAGCACATTTTTGTGGCTTCTTTGAATAATCAATGGCTCCATACAATAAGCACTGGACAGTAAACCACAAGGTCCACGGTTCAAGTCCGCCATCCATTCTGCAGGAGAAAGATGAGGCTTTCTTTTCCCTGGAAGATTTAAAGCCTCGGAGTCCCTATACTGGTCAGAATCAACTCCACAGCACTTAACAAAAACAACAAATATAAGCTACCAAGTATTTACAACAAACATATTGTTAGAAAACAGTTGCAGGGAACATTAGAACAGTATTTCTGAAGCTAACTAAAATTCTAAGAAGGCAAAAACGTAGAAACGGAGGTAAGAGCAAATAAGAATAAAGCAGGTTGAGTCAAAAGACATGTTCCCTATCCCCTTCCTCAGAGCAATTACTGAGGCAATGTCTAAAATCTTTCACTTTAATAAATTAAGACATATTTTTTTTTGAGTCTTGTTGAGACACTGAAGTAGACACACCCGAGTAAACAAAGTGGCAACAGCAAATCTTATTAGCCAAATATGTCTTATTCAGAATCAGAAGCAAGGAGAGTCAGAGGCAAATCTGAATTGTTGATGGGAGAAGATATCATGTATAAAGTCAGATGCATAGTTAATTTGAGATTAAGGAATTTTACGCTTAGGTTGCCTTATGTAATTATTCAGGAGAGCATAGTTTCAAGCAGATTCTTAAAAGATTACTTAATATTAAAAAAAATTTTTTAACTACAGATAGAGTCAAACAAAAGGAAGAGGTGATATGAGAGATAAAAGGCACAATGACATATTGAAGAACATAATAAAAGTGGTAGAGTAACAAAATAAATTCAAGATTGACAACTGAGACCACGGAGGGGAGATCACAGTCACGGGCATACATTCTAAAGCAGCAGCATAGATAATTCTAAGTTTTGTTGTGCGTTTTCTTAAAATATGCAGGGTTGGACAAGAAATAATAACCATAATAAAGGTCATGAGTTAATGGATGAAAAGAATGTGACATTCATAGTTTTATCTTGATAAAATTCTTAAACAAAAGCACTGCCTATTCTGATGCAGACAAATAGTTTAATATCTATTAATATTACCAGGTTTGAGCAAAAATAGTAAATATGATGCTTTATGCTGTTATCATATAAAAAGGCTATTTTGAAAGATAATTTTCTGGAAAGACAGAGCAGCCTAGCCATTTACCTATTTAATTTTGCACTAATTCAAAAGGTGGGTTTTGAAAATGAATCAGTATTATTAGAATCACTTCACATTGAAAGTTACATATAAATCTTAACTCAGCTGCTCTTATGTTATACATCATTAACAGTTTCAGCAAAATTAAACCAAGAAAGAATTTATTTTCTGCTAGAAAAATAAGGTTAACATTTATCTTAACATTCTATTTAAACACAACACTAATAGTTAACACAGTTCATATATATGCTATTGCTAAAACACCTACAAAAATGCTTCCAAAAACCTTTATGACATAGACTCACACTTTAAATTACAGTGGTTACAATGTATATGGAACGAATGCATTGAAAACACTCTGTAATTTTAACAATCTTATGTAGTCAAATAAAGAGTGAATGCTAAAACATTCAATGGATTATTTATTGCATACATAAACACATTACATTTTAGTTTTTACCTTAGTATTTTAACTTGAGAACATTTCAATATTGGTTTTAATACAGAAGGGAGACAATAGTAATATTGTAATATTAAACAAGATATTTATTGAATATTTTATAAGACAGTTGATTTTTTAAAAAGTATTATATATTGAACATAAATTATTCTGAGTCTTTCCCTAGCTAAATATTTTAAAGTTAAGTTCAAATATTACAATTTACATTAAAAACAAAATCCAAAGTAACTTTCTAAAGTTTTGATATTTTGAAATTAGATATTTTTAAAATTTACCATATCATTTTTAAAAGTACTGTTTTATCTTTGGTATGTGTGTGAGACAGGAAATAAGTAGAAAATTTGCTGTCTTAAAAATACACAATTGATGCTGGGCCTGGGAGCTCAGGACCACAGTCTCAGTGGACACCACAGTCAACTGTCATAACATAGTCCACAAAGACAGTGTTCTGCATCCCACTTCGGTGAATAGTATCTGAGATCTTAAAAGCTCAGGAGTGGCCTTTTAAGGTGTAGCAATCAGCCTCTCCATGTGCAGAAGAAATAAGAGTGATAAGAATTGAAGATGTATGGAACCGATGAGTCCAGTGAACTAAGGGGACATGTGAATATCAGTTTCCATCACTCTGAGACCAGAAGAACTAGATAATTCCCAGCTACCCCAACCAACTGCTCTGAAATCGATCCCATTAGAAAGTTCCAGATAGAGTGGGAGAACATATGGAACAAAACTCAAAAATTATTACCAACAAAAAAAGAAGGCAGCTGGGATAACTGATCAGAGAAAGACTGGAGGAACCTAAGATTGTGGTCCTCAACCACCCTTCAGATCTGGACAGGAACTCATCCTTGTGGCCCAATTTTCAGCCAAGCAGTAGATAGGTATATGGGGGGACAACATTAGTCAGGTATATTCACCAAATATACTCACCAAAATCAAAAGGGCAACATTTACCTAAGGACAAAGTTGAGAAGGGATGGGAAGGTGGATGGAATCGAACTAAGAACCACAGGGAGGAAGTGGGATGACTGATGCGACATGGAGGGGGTTGCAATAACAGAGATGATGAAAAGCATATGATTTGCTGAAAATCATAAAACTGATGATCTTGTCTGTAAACCTTCACTTAATTCACAATAAAAAGTTTAAAGAAAAAAGTAAGCAACTGTCTAAACTTAAATACTTCTTTTTATTAACATCTGTAGTGTTCAAATTTTTTAAAGGTGTCATTGATTCCAATATTGTGAGCTACAAACATATCTGATTTCAACATTCTTTTTTAAAAATTGTGTCTTGATATACAAGTATACTCATATCTAGCGATGCACAACTGTTTTTGTCTGTTTTACTAAGATTTTTATCAGTTGTATCTTAGTTTATTACGGAAATATAACAAAGGAAGAAAATTTAAGAGACTGATAAATAACCGTACACATATGACAAAACATAACCATAAGAATACAGAAGTTCATACAAATTTAAATATTGTCTTCTTCTTGTTGTTGCATGGAGTCAGTCCCGACTCATAGTGACCCTGCAAAAGGGTTCCAAGGGGCACCTGGTGGGTTTGACTGCTGACCTTATCCTAAGTCATCACACATCAATAATGTTGCATGTGACTTCTGCAAACGCTTTGATTCATTTAAAAAGAACACTGATATTACCAGCTCTAGTCCTAAGAGGATTGGAAAGACCTTCACAGAGACTTAACTTTCTCCATATATTGAAATACTACATGCAGAAAATATCTATACAACAATATAAGTATGCTCAAAAACTATCAATTTAGACATAACCAAGGCAGAGGAGAGTTTACCCATTATTAATCTATGATTACAAAGCAACAAACTCTTAGCAAATACACAAAGATTAATTTCTGTCCCTATTACTCCCATTCATTCAAATCACTACCACCAAATGGAAACTAAATAAACAATTAAAGCTATACCAAATTCAAAGAAATTGGTTCTAAGGAGAAGCTTGTTGCTATTTTTATCTTTGCTGCTCTTTATGGAATGTGCTTTCTTCCCTCTGATTGCTTTTAAGATTCACTGGTTTTAAACAATCGAATTATAGTGTGCTTTTGGGTGATATTCTTTATGTTCTTTTGCTAAAGGTTATTTGTGCTTCTTGAAACTCTGGATTTATAATTTTCACCAAACTGGGAACTGTTTTAACAATTATTTTTTGAAATAACATGTATACTAGACTGCTTGATGGAGCACTGTGGCTCTATAGGATAAGCATGGACTAGTAACCAAAAGGTCGGCAGTTCAAGACCACCAGCTGATTCACAGCAGAAAAATGAGGTTTTCTGCTCCCAAAATATTTACAAGCCTTATAAGCCATATACAGGGTTATGATGAGTCGGAACCAATTAAAGGACACATAATACCAATAGGCTGCTGGAAGTTGTACCACAGCTCACCAATGCAGTGTTCTCATGTTTCCCATTGCTTTTTTTCCCTTTCCTTCTCATATTAATGTTGTTATGTACTACTGAGTTTGTTTCTTCCTAGCGATCCTGTATAAGGTTTCCAAGGATCAAGCGACTGGTGGGTTTGAATCACCAACATTGTGGTTAGCAATCCAGTGCTTATCCTTCAGTGCCACATCAGGACTCACTTTCATATTAAATAATTTTAATTGCTGTGTCTTCAAGTTCTCTATTCTTTTCTTCTACAGTATCTAATCTGGTCATCTGATTCAGAATACTTTTCATCTCAGGCATTTTCTTTTTCATCTCTAGAAATTTCACTTTTGTATATGCTTTAAGTCTTCCATGCCTTTCCTCAACACGCTAATGTTTCTGCCTATGTTTTTAGTTATAATAATATTTAATAATACCTATTTTAATATCCTTACCTACTAATGCCACCATCTATATCATTTCTATGTTTGTTTCTATTAGCAGCATTTTTTCCTCATTAATTGCTGCCACAGTGAGTCCACTCTAACTCATGGCACCCTTATGTGTATGAGAGTAGAACTGCATTCTATAGAGTCTTCAGTAGGGCATTCAGTAGGATTGCCAGACCTTTCTTTTGAGTTGCTTTCCAATGTACTTGAACTTCTAACCTTTTCAGTGAGCATTTGTACGAATCTGGGAATATTTCTCCTCATTTTGAGTCATGGTTTTTGTTTTATTTGCATGCTTCATTATTATTTGTCTGGGGTGGCAAAAAGATTTTTTCCATCTTTGGAATCGATTTTTTTTTTTTTTTTTTTTGAGTTACTGCAATTACAAAGCTTACCTAAACTAAAATCACCAACTGAGTTCTATGAGAAACTGAATAGAATTAGCAAAAGCACCATTATTACCTCATCATATGTATATCTGTAGTCAGCTTTCTTTGACTTAAGATCCCATAATACTACTGTTCCAGATTCAAAGCCAATCAAAAGCTGGAATAAAAGAGAGAAAGAGAGCCATATTACCTAGGAGGGCCATCAATTCTAGAAAACAACAATGAAGATGAACACTATCATTCATATGGTTCACGTATAAATTCATAACTAAGTTCGTTTATCAATAATTACTAATCACATAAATGAAAACTGAAAATAATGTGAGTTTATCTGCCTTTGACAATTCTGGGCTCAACATACATCAAGAAACATATTTTTGAAAAGGAAAACAGTGTCCTTTTGAAACCATGACTGTTCATGCTCATTAACCAATCAATTTGTTGTTGTTGTTAAGTGCTGTCGAGTCAGTGCCGACCCATAGCGACCCTCCCTGTACAGGGTTTCCGAGGCTGTAAATCTTTACGGGAGCAGAACGCCTCATTTTTCTCCCGCAGAGCAGCTGGTAGTTTCGAACTGCTGACCTTAAGGTTCACAGCCCAATTCGTAACCACTACGCTACCAGATATATCATAATAAAACACTGGGAAAATTAATATATGCATATGATTGCATGTTTATAAACTTTCCTTGATCAATACATGCTCAGGCAGTATCAAGATTAAAGTAAAGTTTTAATTTGTCCCACCATGCCTACACCCGAAGGCTTAGATTTTACACAACCATCTTCTACAAGAAAAAAAAAAAAAAAAGTGAAGATAGAGGTTGCTGTTATTTGTTTCATATAAGAACACACAATTTTAATATTGTAAGCTAAGGAGCTCTGGTAGTGTAGTGGTTACGAATTGGGCTGCTAACCTCAAGGTCAGCAGTTCGAAACTACCAGCTGTTCCATGGGAGAAAGATGAGGCTTTCTGCTCCCATAAAGATTTATAGCCTTGGGAACCCTGCGCAGGGTCACTATGAGTCGCAACCAACTCCACGGTACTTAACAACAACAACAACAAGTTAATTCCAGACATCACACAACCAAGACCTCTCTCTCTAACTGAGGAAAGTAAAACCTTTAATAAACAAAAAAATCCAGAAGTTTCATTTAATTTATTCTTAATAGTGATGAGAAATTGCCCATTTAATTACTTAAATTATCAAGTTGCATAAGTGAAAAATAGGCTTAATAAAGTGAACGTCCTGAAGGCTTGTCTTGAATTTATGTGCTGCTGTTGTTAGGTGTCATCGAGTCATTACCAACTCATAGCGACCCTAGGTACAACAGAACAAAACACTGCCCAGTCCTGGGCCAACCTCACAATTGTTGACACGCTTGAGCCTACTGATGCTACAACTTTGCCAACTGAGGCTTGAATTTTTTCTTCAGTTCCCCCAGCTTGAAAAATGCTGAGCGTATTCTTCCTTTTTGGTTTTCTGACTTCAGATCTTTGTACATTTTGTTGTAATATTTGTCTTTGTCTTCTCGAGCTGACGTTTGAAATTTTCTGTTCAGCTCTTGGACCTCCTCATGTCTTCCATTTACTTTAGCATCTCTACGCTGGAGAGCAAGTTTCAGTGTGTCTTCTGACATCTATTTAGATCTTTCCTTCTTTCTTGTCTTCTTAATGACTTTTTGCTCTCTTCATGTATGATGGTTCTTGATGTCATCCCACAACTCTTCTGGTATTTGGTCTTTAGTGTTTAACGTATCAAATCTGTTCTTCAGATGATCTCTAAATTCAGGTGGGATATATTCAAGGTCATATTTTGACTCTCGTGGACTTGTTTTCATTTTCTTCGGCTTCAGTTTGAATTTGCATATGATCAATTAATGATCTGTTCCACTATCTGCTCCTGGCCTTTTTTTGACTGATAATATAGAGCTTTTCCATCATCTCTTTTCACAGATGTAGTGAATTTGATTTCTGCGTATTCCATCTGGTGAGGTCCATGTGTATAATAGTTTCTTATGCTGTCTAAAGAAGGTATTTGAAATGAACAAATCATTCATTTTGCAGAATTCTATCATGTGATCTCCAGCATCATTTCTTTCACCAAGGCCATATTTTCCAACTACTGATCCATCCTCTTTACTACAACCCTTGCATTCCAATCACCAATAATGATCAATACATCTTGATTGCATGTTTGATCGATTTCAGACTGAGGAAGTTGGTTGAATTCTTCTTTTTCATCCTCACTGGCTTTAGTGGTTAGTGCGTAAATTTGAATAATGGTGGAATTAACTGGTCTTCTCTGTAGGCGCATGGATATTATCCTATCACTTATAGCATTGTACCTCATGACTGATCTGGATATGTTCTTTTTGACAATGAATGCAACACCATTCCTCTTCAGTTTGTCATTCCCAGCATAATAAACCATGTGGTTGTCAGATTCAAAATGGCCAATATCAGTCTGTTTCAACTCACTAATGCCTAAGATTTCAGTGTTTATGCGTTTCATTTCATTTTTGACAATTACCAAATTTTCCTAGATTCATATTTCGTCCATTCCATGTTTCGATTATTAATGGATGTTTACAGCTGTTTCTCTTCATTTTGAGTTGTGCCCCATCAGCAGATGAAGGTCCCACGGGCTTTACTCCCACAGGCTTTACTCCATTCACATCATCACAGTCAACTCTACTTTGAGGAGGCATCTCTTCCCCTGTCACATTTTGAGTGCCTTCCATACTAAGGG